ACCCTCACGGCCGCAACCCCCCCCCCCCCCCCCGGGTGGGAGCTCATCCGTCTCCCCCCGGGTGGGTGTGGGGGGGTGAACTGTCCCTGTGGGGAGGGGGAGGTGTCTGTGTGTCCATCCCTTCATCCATCCATGTGTCCGGCCATCCCCCCATCCATCTGTCTGTCCCTCCCTGCATCCATCCCTCTGTCCGTCCATCCATCCATGTGTCCATCCATCCCTCCATCCTTTCCTCTGTCCATCCCTCTGTCCGTCCCTCCTTCCATCCCTCTATTCCTCCATCCATCCATGTGTCCATCCCTCCATCCTTTCCTCTATCCATCCCTCGCTCTGTTCATCCCTCCCTCCATCCATCTGTCCATCCCTCCCTCCATCCCTCTATTCCTCCATCCATCCATCTGTCCATCCCTCCATCCCTCCCTCCATCCATCTGTCCGTCCCTCCCTCCATCCCTCTATTCCTCCATCCATCCTTCTCGGCCATCCCCCCATCCATCTGTCTGTCCCTCCCTGCATCCATCCCTCTGTCCGTCCATCCATCCATGTGTCCATCCATCCCTCCATCCTTTCCTCTGTCCATCGCTCCATCCCTCCATCCATCCATCTGTCCATCCCTCCATCCTTTCCTCTGTCCATCGCTCCATCCCTCCATCCATCCATCTGTCCATCCCTCCATCCTTTCCTCTGTCCATCGCTCCATCCCTCCATCCATCCATCTGTCCATCCCTCCATCCTTTCCTCTGTCCATCGCTCCATCCCTCCATCCATCCATCTGTCCATCCCTCCATCCTTTCCTCTCCCCATCGCTCCCTCCCGCCCTCTGTCCCTCTATCCATCTCCCATCCCTCTGTCCCTCCATCCATCACCCCTATCCGTCCATCTGTCCATCTGCCCCCACGGGAGGGCTCTCCACCCGGGGTGGGTGCAGGGCGATGCCGTCCCTGCATGGCGAGCGGTGTCCGTGCGTCCCTGTGTCCCTCCATCCGTGTTGCCGTGCCTCCC